TCATTTAAAAATTCATTTTTGATTTAAAAGGAATTACAATTTCGTCAAAATCCACCAATTAATTATTATTTTTAAATATTTTTTAGTCATATACGATTCAAATTAAACATTAAAAAAATAATGAAAATAAAATCATATATGATATATAGCAAAACACATTTAAAATGTATAAGATCACATGTAATTCAAAACGTAATTCGTAATTTACACATTTGACATGTAATGTTGTATATATTCCGTATCACATGTGATTTTCTACTATAATCAATATCACATATGATACATTGACGAAAATTAACGATTCTTTTTTTTTAAACAATCAATTAATTGTGGATATCACATATGATTTTTAACGAAAATTTCTAAAAAATCCTCAAATAAACTACTTCATTCAAAATATTTAAATCAAACTTAATTTAGATGTTGTAAAAAATTTTAAAAAAATAAACATGCTTAAATTACGAAAACTATAAAAAAAAGTACTTAATTAAATGTATTACACGATCTTTATAGAAATAAATGAGTTTTTATATATAATCTGTTTACAACAAATGACACATATATGTTTTTGGACAGTTTTTTAGAAAGTTTATTTAAGATATTATTCAAATAAATGATTGGTACAGAGTTATTCTTTTATTTTCTTAAATACGTATCATCTCATATGAACCACTCATATATATATATATATATATATGTATGTATATATAATTAACATTGGTCAAGTATGGTGTACTGAATAATGTTTGTATTTGTCATATCATGTCTGTGAACGAGGCATTTCTAAAGAGGTTCATATATGAAAGGCTTGTGACGTTATTTAATACTCAGGTTGTATGTTCATTAATGTTGGAAAAGTTTTTTAATGGAAATATATTAAATAGAATTTGTAAACAATATTCAAAATTTGTATTAAATCCGTCCCTGATGATATCTCTCGTTGATCCTTCGTTGATAGCATTATCTACGAGCATTTAACCGACGAAGTATCAACGACGGATTACTCTTTTAACGACGAATTTATGAGGGAATTTTCTCTCGCGCATGCTCTCATTTTTGTTTTGTAGCTAGTGGAGGAATCTTGAATCCATAATTACTGCATATGCAGTATGATCCTTTTTTCAACAATCTTATCGTTACTGTGTCCACTCCTGTGCGGTTGACCCAAAAAGACGACTCGATCGATCTCTCTACTAACAAACACCATTTGCTTGTTTTATGTTGACAAGACATATATACTCATCAACCATACGATCCAGATGACGTTTATACGATTGTCTTTGCCTTCATGACTTCTTCAATAAGCTCTCCCTTTATCCATCCAAAACACATACACACACAGAGAGAGTTAAATTAAGGTGAAGTAGGTAGGTGTGAAGAACATACATGGGTGAGAATGAGATGGTGGATGGATTTAAACAAGCACAAGTTGCATTAGGAAACAGGTCGATTGATATAATGAATGGTGATGGTGATATCGCATGCCAGTGCATGCTGGATTACAATTCCACTACTCCTGATTCCAATGAACACCAGAATGGAATCCTCCAACCACCAGACGATTGGCTTCCCATCACCCAATCAAGAAAAGGGAATTCATGGACGGCTACGTTTCATTTGCTTTGCTCTGGAATCGGGATCCAAACACTCTCTCTCCCCCTCGCCTTTGTATGCCTTGGCTGGTACGTAACTCCACTTTCTACTCAACAGTTGGCATGTGGGTATGACTCTTCTTCACTGAATACTTTTCTTGTTTCAGGTTTTGGGGGTCTTTGTGTTTGTCTGTGGCTTTTGTATGGCAGCTCTACACCATTGGATTGCTAATAAGTCTTCACGAATCCGTCCCCGGGACTCGTTACAGCAGATATCTTCAACTTTCGATGGCTGCGTTTGGTACATAAATCGAGATCCCTTTCATTTACCTTAGACCCTACAACCCGACTTATATAACGTTAAAAACGTCTAAAATCCCAATTTTGTAGGTGAAAAATTGGGGAGAGTTGTAGCCATTTTCCCAGTGATGTATCTTTCAGGAGGTACTTGTGTGTTTTTTATAATCAGTGGGGGTGGAACCATGAAGCTTTTTTATCAACTCATGTGTGGAGATTGCTCTTCCAAACACCCCTTGACTACAACAGAATGGTCCTTGGTTTTCATTTGTTTGGCAATTCTTGTGTCCCTCGTAACTCCCAGCTTGCATTCCCTATCTCTCGTCTCGTTTCTTGGAGCGATCATGGCCGTTGGATATTGTACGACGTTATGGGTAGTTTTCGTTGCTAACAGAAGGCTAGACAACACTGTTTACGATCCATCAGAAGCTGTTGGCTCAGAAGCTGATCGAATTCGAAGCATCTTGAATGCAGTTGGGATCATTACCCTTGCATTTAGAGGCCATAATGTTGTATTAGAGATACAGGTACATTTATATATCCAACTGACTTGTATTAATGATGGTTTAATTAACAAGATCATTAATCATGATTAATTAACTTGTTGTGGTGTTAAAGGGTACCTTGCCATCAACCCCAAATCGCTCATCATCAAACATCATGTGGAAAGGAGTGATAGCATCATATCTCATCATTGCAATGTGTTTCTTCCCTCTTGCCATTGTTGGATATTGGGCCTTTGGAAACAAGGTTAGCAAAGTCTTCCATTTCAAAAACATTTAGGGTGCATTAAGTATACAGACCGGATAGTATAGGATACCGGATAGTATAGGATACGAGAGAATAAAACAACTGTTCAATGTTTGTTAAGAAAGAACTAAACATAACAGAGCATATAAAATAACCAATTTAACTCTAATGAGTTGTTTATATATTTAGTTCCGTTTTGTTTTGTATACCAAACGCACCCTTTAACCTTCCAAACTTAACGTCAATCATGTACTGATTAATGCTCAAATGGTTTCAGATTCCGGCCACCGGAGGAATGTTAACTGCTCTCTCCACCACCCTCCACCACCACGTGTCAAAACCGGTGCTTGGCCTCGTATACGTCCAAGTCGTCATAAGTTGTGTGACTGCTTTCCAAATTTACAGCATGGTTGTCTACGACAACTTGGAGCGTGCATACGCAAGCCGAACAAGCCGGAAATGCCCAAAGTTAGCCCGTGTAGGAATCAAGATTTTCTTCGGAGGTCTGACCTTTTTTATATCGGTGGCATTCCCATTTCTGCCAAGCTTGGCGATGGTGATCGGAGGGATTGCGCTACCTTTGACGTTGGGGTACCCATGTGTCATGTGGATTGCGATCAAAAGACCACCACCAAAATCAGGAAGCTGGTGGCTCAACCTTGGGCTTGGTTGTTTAGGCATAGGGCTGAGTTTGGTGGTAGTCGGTGGTGCTGTGTGGAACTTGGCTTGTACAGGCTTAGATGCCAACTTCTTCCATCCACGTTGACGACAATGGCTGTTTGCAATCCATATATAAAAATCATAATTTTAAATGTCTTAATAAACCGTTTTTTTAAAACTTATTTATAGGATAGGTATTGTAACAAGTTTATAGAACATTTTTGGACGTTTTAACAAGTTTTTTAGTACATTTTCAATACACAGCATCGAATAGCAATTTTAAATGACATTATTTGATCGAAAAATTATCCTATAAAAACAAGTGTCTATAAAAAGATGGGTGTTTTAGAACATTTTCTCAAAAGTGTCCTATAAAATTGCAAATATGATGTTTTTATTAAAAGTGTCTTTGAAAACTTGTTAAGACGTCATAAAACATCTTATAAACTTATTAAAACACATTTTATTTTTTTGGTCCTATAAATTAAACTTTATAAAACAGTCTACATGAAGCTTAAAAATTGGTAGCGTTTTATAACCTGAATTTTGTTGTTGTGTCAAGCAGTTTATATAGGTATCTCAATTAGTCTTAAGAGGAATTCAAGTCAATTAATAGTCAAAAAATAACCTACGGTATTCATGAGAGGACTTCAACTCGCTACAACAAAATCGTTTTATAAGATGTTAAAAATGTATAATTGTTCTAATAGACCGCTTTAAAAAAAACTTATAGGACAAAAGAATTGCACATCCTATTTGAAAGGGGCCTAACTACGAAATCACAAACTAAAAAGAGTGCATAGATTCATAGGTATAAAGTGGTACGTGAGCTTGGTTCAGAACGTCGTGAGACAGTGGTGTGCTACAATGGTCGGGACAAAAGGTCGCAATCCTGCGAGGGTGAGGTAACTCCAAAAACCCGTCCTCAGTTCAGATTGCGACCATTGTGGGTATAATGGTAGATGCTCAGGACCAGGTTATTATTATTCCTTTTGACCCTTATTATTTTGAGGTCATATATGGTTTACCCGGACCCGATGAAAAAAATGAGATCGCTCCTTATAGACTCGTAGACGTTTTAATAAGTTTTATAATATTTTTGAAATAAGTGTTCTACTAGTTTTTGTAGCACATTTTTGAGAAATAGCCTATGAACATATTTTATTATAGCACCTTTGGTTTTGTAAGACATTTTTTTTTCAAATAACGTGACAAATGGTGACTCCTTCATTGCATCCTTTGCTAGGGTAGAGTGCGTAAAAGTGCCATAAAAAATTAATAAGATGTTTTATTCTGAAGTTGTTCTAAAAAACCTGTTAATACACACAAAAACAACTTATAAACTTGTTGTAACACTATTACATATAAGACGCACAAGTCACTACAACAAAATTGGATTTATATGACCCCACCAATAAAATAACCGTCCTAAAGACCGTTTTATAAGACATAATTTATAGGACCAAAAAATATAACGTGTTATCTAAAGACGTTGTAATAAGTTTATAGGACGTTTTTAGGCATCTTAATAAGTTTGTTACGACACTTTTATAAGGAAAAAAAAAGTCATATTAGCTACTTCATAGAATACTATTTGAAATCTCCTATAAACACAAGTGTTCTATAAAAAAAATGGGTTTATAGGACATTTTCTCAAACGTATCTATACTATATTATAAAGCATTTGACGAAAACTCTTAAAAACCATTTTTTATGCATAAAGTACTGTATATTGATGTATATTACTTAAAAATATTACATGTAAATTATGCATTAAGTACAACTTATTAAAGCTCAATGTTTGAATTTGTGTAACTGGCTACGGATAAACATAATCAAATAGAGAACAAACATCTTATTTTAAAATACAAAAAAATCTAAAATATAATTAGAATAATTATCGAGTTTCTAACCGAATGTTTAATTATTATCTTTAATAAAAATTATATTATTAAAACAAAAATAAATTACTTTGTTATTATACCTAAATTAAATTATAATAAAAATCTATACAATATTATAAAGTATTGACAAAAACTTTTAAAAACTATTTTTTATACATAAAGTATTGTATATTAATGCATATTACTTAAAATTCAAGATTACAACTAAATTATGCATTAGGTACAACTTATTAAAGCTCAATGTTTGAATTCGTGTAACTAACTACGGATAAACATAATTAAATAAAGGATAAACATCTCATTTTAAAATATAAAAAATCTAAAATATAATTAGAATAATTATCGAGTTTCTAACCGAATGTTTAATTATTAGCTTTAGTAAAAATTATATTATTAAACCAAAAATAAATTACCTTGTTATTATACCTAAATTAAATTCAAGAACTTACACCAATAAAACGAAAACTATTAAATAATTAATTTAATACTAATATCGATTTTTTTAAATTTTTTATGCTATCATCAAACTTATATTTCATTCAAAAATAAAAACATTATCGTTTTCTCAAAACCTAATAAAATTATATTACATCAATAGAGACAAATAATAAAAATTAAACATTAAAATTCAAAATGAAGATTTATCTCGTTGCATTGCGCGTGTACCCTTCTAGTTATATAAAATAGCTAATGTGACGCTTTGTATTAAAAGTGTCGTACAAAACTTGTTAAGACGCCCAAAAGTGTCTTATAAACCTATCACAACGATTTTAGATATGACGGTTTATTTTTTGTTCCTATAAATTAAGTCTTATAAAGCAATTTATTATGAAGCTTATTTATTGATGGCATCCTATAAATCCAAATTTATTAATATATCTTAACATTTTTTAACATCTTATAAACCCGATTTTATTACGTGATATCGAATCCAAAAAGAATTTTGTAATGTATGCTCTACGAAATCAATTATTAATTATTCGTAAATTATTTGTTCATCGAAAATCTCAAATGCAATATTCCAAATAAAATCATATATTTATAAATTATTAAAAATGACCTAGTCAAATTACTAAAGAATTATCGTTAAACAATTAAATAAACGTTAACGTTACATTTAACTTTATGTGACCTCAATCATATATCGTATATATATCCAAATTAAACTTATTTGACAATTTTACCCTTTGTTTTCGTTGTTTTAGCCGGCTATTTCGCTATGGTAAATGGACTATAACGTCAAAGTGAAGTTAGTTTTCGTTGTTTTAGTTGGATATTTCCCTTTGTAATTAAAAAGTCTACAAAATAAAGGTACCTCGCGGAGCTTAAATTAGACCACCGTTTGTAAGGTTTGTTTTATTTAGCATACGTTTCTCTACGTTCGTAGATTACTTCAATATGCATGACCAAGTCAAGCTTCGTCTTATCGTTGATCAATATCTATAAATTACACATAAGTTCTCGTTATTATTCTCATAATCACTGTTCGAAACTGAATCTGGTCCGTTACGTTCTAATGACGAAAACGTCCAACATTTTTTTCTTTCTTCTCGTGGGAATTTCTTTCGCCATTTCACAAGTTTCAAATGCCAAAACATCTGGTCCCGCCACCCCCGCCATTTTCATTTTTGGTGACTCAACAGCTGATGTCGGAACAAACTCGTTCTTGCCCAAAAGCAAAATACGAGCCAATTTCCCTCATAATGGGATCGACTTTCTCAATTCAAGACCCACAGGGCGTTTCAGCAACGGCTTCAATAGTGCCGATTTTCTATGTCAGTATCATGAACAGTAACTTATATGTTTTAACCGCTCAATAAAAACTGACTTATTAATATTTGTAAATTCAGCTAAGCTAATGGGGCATAAAAAAAGCCCACAACCGTACTTGTTTCTTTCAAAAGGAGGCTTAATGCAGATGTTGAGAGGTGTAAACTTTGCCTCTGGAGCAGCTGGTCTTCTAGATCTCACAGGACAAGACCTGGTAAGTCATTTATTAAGGGACCGTTTATCAAATACTTACCCGATAAGTGCTTACCGGTAAAATTTAACACTATTATTTACTTACTGGGTAAGATTTTAGTCCATTTAACACTATTGAGGTTTTCCATTTTGTCTCTAATCTGATCAAAATGTGAGCAGAATATTGTATCGATGTCTGAGCAAATCAAGCAATTTGAGACCATCTACGGCAATCTGACGTTGGTAAAGGGTCGACACGCGACCAAAACCTTGCTCGCAAGATCCATGTTTGCCGTTAGCGTGGGCAGCAACGACCTTTTTGGCTATTTTGAAAGCCGAAGCACGGTTGATCCTGTTATTTTCATCAATTCTTTAATGACGGCTTACGGGTGTCATATAAATGTAAGTATTTACATCATCTCCAACTTTTATTCACAATATGATTATCGTGAAATCGAACTGAAAGATCGTCACATTGTCAAGGCACTGTATAACCTCGGTGCAAGGAAATTTGGGATCATAGGTGTACCACCAATCGGATGTTGCCCATCCCAACGGATTCACAATGGCACCGGTGGATGTTTGGAAATCGAAAATACTTTTGCTCGAGCATTTCATTCAGCTCTTGATGCCCTCATGAAGCAACTTGCTTCTAAGTTGCCAGAAATGAAGTATGCACTCGGAAACTCATACGAAATGACGATCAATGTCATCAACCAAGCGCAACTCTTCAGTAAGTATGAAATTAGAACATTCTAATCTCTTAGAAACACATGTGTTAATTTCATTAAGCTAAATTTTATTTAATTTGTGCAGATTTTAAATCCGTTGACACGGCTTGTTGTGGCGAAGGGTGGCTGAACGCAGAAAAGACTTGTACCCCGGAAGCGAACATGTGCTCGAATCGCGATGAGTACCTCTTTTGGGACTTGTATCATCCAACACAGTATGCTGCCGAGCTTGCAGCCATGACATTATACAACGGTGGACCGCAATTTGTGACCCCGATTAACTTTGCTCAACTCGTAGCATATTGATTGTCTAGCATCTGTCTGTTTTTCTAGCTTAATCAGCTTAATAAACTTATAATGACTTATTTGCTCAATCATTATTGTGTTTGTTTTGCTTAACTTTTAACCAATTACTAATAATTTTTGAACTAAATAAGTTATCATGTATCTATGTATTAACTAGAAATTAAAACAAACAACTACTTAATTTATGTGACGATTTTAAGTACCTTACTGTGACTGATTTAATATATAATCAAGACAACATACGGTCATGGTTATAAGATGAAACATTGTAGAAAAAGGATGATATATATATATATATATATATATATATATATATATATATATACACTAGAAGAGTATTCGTGTAATGCAGCGAGACAAATCTCGATTTTAATGTTCTATTTATTATGTGTATTTGTATATGTTATAATACGATTTTATGTGTTTTTAAGAAAACAACAATGATTTTATTTTTGAATAAAATATAAATTTGAAAATATAATAAAATTTTAAAAAAAATATATCAATGTTAATATCCAATCAACTATTTAAAAGTTTTTATATTTTATGTAATTTCTTTAATTTATTTTTTTATTATAATTTAATTTAAGTTTAATAATGAAATAATTTATTTTTGATTTAATAATATAACATTTTATAAAAATTATAATTATTAAGTATTCTGTTAAAACTCAATGATTATCCTAATTATATTTTAGATTTTTTATATTTAAAATGAGATGTTTATCTTGTATTTGATTGTGTTTATCTGCAGTTAGTTACATGAATTCAGATATGAAGCTTTAATAAGTTGTACATACGCACAATTTACTTTTAATCTTGAGTTTTAAGTAATATGCA